ATCAGAACATGGGGTCTATCTGCAAATGGGCGATACTAAGGGGGTCGATCCGCACCTAACCCTTTTTGTATCTTTTTTTTTCTGAATGGTGAAGTGGGCTAACTTGGATGGATTAGTATGATAATCATCAAAATGGTCACAATACATGATTTTGACAGGCAAATACCAGATGTTAATGGAAAACTTAGCATGTGTCCTCAAATTCTAATTTAGTCAATTATACGTATAAAATAACAAAGCTGCCACAAAAGCATGATTTGGTGACACATGGACATAGGTGAAAGTGTCACATCACATAAATCTAGACATAAGTCCTATTATTATGTATGCACTATGCACAAAGGTTTATGGTCTATGTTTATATTATCATGTAAACATAAGCTTCTTCAGATTCAGAATTTCACCTTTGTAACTTGTATATTTTGTCCCTCCAAAGTTAACTCTGCCCTCATAGTAAGTAAGCCCTCTACCTTCATGGATAAGAAAACGGTACTTATTATGCTTCATGATGTCTCCTTGCAAACATGGCCCACTCATACCTTAGAGGGATGCATCTCTCATATAATCTTTGCATGAATAAGAAAATGGTACCTATTATGCTTCATGGAGTCTCCTTGCAAACATGGCCCACTCATACCTTAGCATCATCTCAAAGGGTTATTGAAGGTTGATAAACGTTGGCAAGTATCTGTATCATCCATGAAGTAGAATCTTACTCCAAACTCTTATTCCATTGTGAGGAGAAGAATTTCGACTTCAATAAAGCACCTTCCAAGACATTCAGACAGTTCTGCTTTAAGCCATCATCATTATACTAGCATTTCTTCACCAATATATCCTTCTATCATTACTCTCTCTTAGAAGGCTTTATTCAACATCAAATAGATTTTTGGCTTGTAGTCTTCTAAACCCCGTGTCAAACTCCATAAGCCAGTTCAAAGTTCCTAGTCTATGCACCTATAAAGAAGATAGGAGCTGAGCAAAGTTTATAAGTCAGAACAAAAGTATCAAAATTCTCCTAGACTTGAATATATAGCGTCAAGGAGAATACATCACCAAGTTTGTTGCAGTTATAATTAGATAAAACACCTTGTCAAAGCACCAATATATAAGTCGTTCCGTAGGCAATACCTCTAGAGCTCCAATTTTCTGTATTTCTCTATTGAGGGTCATGGGCCAGCATGTTTTTGTTCTCTTCTTCTTCACTCAAGAGGGTTCTAATTACTGTCTTTTCTCTCCATTGGAGTGGCTGATGTGTTACCCAAGGTGGAAGCAACACCTTTACTTTGCTTATCCTGAGGTTTACTAAATATTTTTTAATTTCTCGAACTCTCTTAGTGTGAGCATGTGGATCTTTGACACAAATCCTTTTCCCTCGTAGGGCTTTGGAATTCATACTACTTGCTTCAATTTCGGTGGTAGCTTCCCTGTTCCGATGGTGCCTGCTTAAAGAAAAGATGACTACAGAAGATACTCACCTAACAATTTAACTATAAGCTACTTAATTTTACCGAAAGCAGCTGTAGTTGAAAAAAAAAATTATAACAATGAAGAGTACTGTTGTATTCAGAGATAATAGAGGACAGCAAAACATGTAGATTTTTTTCTCTAGTTCTGAGCTAGATACACTAGAAAAATGTATTTCAGATTGTGGTATTACATGCTATAAGCTTTGAGCTTTTGTTGAAAGAAGTGATTTGTCCCTTATATTTTACTTTTCCTATTTTGAATGGAAAAACTTGATTACAAGAATTATTGGTTTTAAATAAAAGAACCTTCTTTCACTAAGTTCTTTTAAATAATGTGTTGACAGAAACGAGAATGTGTTTTTATATTTTCACTAAAAAGTCATATATTTTGTACATCTCTAATCCTCTATTTATAATACAATAGGGAAAACAGAAAAAGAAAAGAATCTATTAAAAAAGGAAAAAATCCCCTAAAGTTAGAACTATTATTTTGCTAATAAATCACAGGCTGTAAACAATCTTCCTAATCAATCCCTACAATTAATCACCTAAATCTCTCCTTGCTAATAAATCACAGGCTGTAAACAATCTTCCTAATCAATCCCTACAATTAATCACCTAAATCTCTCCCACTAATTACGAGGATTTCTCATGATTTTCTTCCTAATCAATCCCTACAATTAATCACCTAAATCTCTCCCACTAATTACGAGGATTTCTCATGATTTTAACACTCCCCCTCAAGTTGGATTATAGATATTGATTATATCCAACTTGTAAATAAGATCTTCAACGGTTTGCCGAGGAAGTCCTTTGGTGAAGATATTTGCAGCTTGTTCTTTTGTAGGAACACAGTTCATACAAATGATCCCATCTTCAACTTTGTCCTTGATGAAATGTCTGTCCACTTCTACATGCTTTGTCCTGTCATGTTGAACTGGGTTTAGAGAAATATTGATGGCTGCTTTGTTGTCACAGTAAAGTTTGATTGGAAATTTTACAGTGACATGTAGTTCTTCCAAGAGTTTCTTCAACTATAGACCTTCACACATCCCTTGTGCGACTGCTCTAAATTCAACTTCGGCACTGCTTCTAGCCACCACATTTTGCTTTTTTACTCCTCCAGGTTACCAAGTTTCCACATACAAATGTGCAATACCCGGTGGTTGACCTTCTATCTTCCGTTGAACCTGCCCAGTCAGCATCTGTAAAGATTTCTATTTCTCTACTTCCACTCTTCTTGAAGAATATTCCTTTACCTGGTGAACCCTTAAGATATATGAGAATCTTGTATACTGCTTCTAGATGAGTTTCCCTTGGTGAGTGCATGTGTTGACTTACTACACTGACGGCAAAGGCAATATCAGGTCTTGTGTGCGATAAGTAGATCAACTTGCCAACTAGTCTTTGATACCTGTCCTTTTCAACTAGTTCCCCAATGTCTTCTGTTCTTTTCACGACTTCAATTGGTGTATCACTTGGCTTACATCCAAGCATGCCGGTCTCAGTTAAGAGATCGAGAACGTATTTTCTCTGAGAGATACTAAGACCTTTTTTTGATCTGGCGACCTCCATTCCCAAGAAATACCGCATTTGTCCCAAGTCTTTAACTTTGAATTCAGTGGCTAGAATCTTCTTTAATCTCTCCATCTCTATTATATTGTCTCCTGGTAGGATTATATCATCAACGTACACAATCAGGATTGTCTTCGTTCCATGTTTTGCCTGTTGAAAGAACATAGTGTGATCTGATTGTCCTTGTTGGTATCCTTGCCCTTTTACCACCTTAGCAAATCTATCGAACCATGCTCTTGGTGATTGCTTGAGACCATTTAATGACTTCTTAAGTTTACATACCCTGTTTTCTTCGCCCTTTTTGTTGAAACCTGGTGGTATTGTCATGTAGATTTCTTCTTCTAGCTCACCATTCAAGAATGCGTTCTTAATGTCAATTTGTTGAAGGGGCCAGTCCAAATTCACTGCCAATGACAGAAGAACTCGAACTATATTCAACTTTGCTACATGAGCGAATGTTTCTGTGTAGTCAACACCATAGGTTTGTGAAAAACCTTTTGCAACTAGACGAGATTTGTGCCGTTCTATTATCCCATCAACCTTGTACTTTATAGTAAAGACCCATTTGCAGCCAACAAGTTTCTTCCCTCTAGGTAAATCCATCACCTCCTATGTTTTATTTTTTTCCAAGGCCTGTATTTCCTCCATTACTGCTTTTCTCCATTTGGGAACCTCCAAGGCCTCCTGAATATTCTTTGGAACTTCTGTACTATCAAGGTTAAAGGTAAAAGTATGGAACTTGGTAGTCAAAGCATTGTAAGACATAAACTTAGAGATAGGATGAAGAGTACATGACCGGGTTTGGTTTTTAAGAGCAATGGGTAAATTAAGATCAGATAACTCAGATGGAGACTCATGATTACTTGGAGCTATCATCAGATCCGATTCTTTTGGTGCCTCGAGTATGAGGTTCTCCTTGTATTTTGATTTTGGCCTTGAATAAACAATAATCTTATTGTCACTTTGTTTTCCTGCATCTCTTCCTGAATTCAAGGTTCCTTCCGTAAATAGCATATTAGGATGAGATGATGTGATGGACTTGGAGATATTTTTGGCAGTGTCGGGAGAAACAGGTTCGGTAGTGGCAGGGAAGAGGTCAAAATTTAAGTCAAAATCCAAAAAACGATCTTCTCTCAAATTCTCCCACTGAAGAGAGGATTTTTGGAAATAAGGAGTGTTTTCAAAGAAGGTAACATCGAGGCTAACAAATACTTTGTTGATGGGTCATAGCACTTGTAGCCTTTTTGAGTAGGAGAATATTCTATAAAAACACATTTGAGAGCTCTAGGATCTAATTTGCCTCAATGATGAATATGAACAAAGGCAATACATCCGAACACTCTAAGAGATAGATTAGAGCTGAGGCGAGACATATGGAAGAATTTTTGGAATCTTTGGAGAGGAGTATCGAAAGAAAGAACATGGCTTGGCATTCTATTAATAAGATAAGTGGATGTTAAGATGGCATCTCCCCAGAACATTTTGGGTATGTTTGTAGTAAACATTAAAGCGCGAGCTACTTCGAGGAGATGTCGATTTTTACGTTCAGCAACTCCGTTTTGCTGGGGAGTAACAAAACATGAACTTTGATGTATTATTCCATATTCTTGAAGAAAATCACCCAAAATATTATTGAAATATTCTTTGCCATTGTCGGTACGAAAAATTTGAATTTGTGTTTGGAATTGTGTTTTCATCATTAAGTGAAAATTGATAAAAACAGAACGAACATTGGATTTTTCTTTTAGCAAGTAAACCCAGCTGACTCGGGAATGGTCATCAATAAAGGTGACAAACCATCTCGTGTGAGTACAATTAAAAGTTCGATACAGACCCCAAAAATCGCTATGAATCATACTGAATGGTTTAGATGGCTTGTATCCGGATTTTTGGAATGCAGTACGTTGATGTTTTGCGAGTTCACAAATTTCACATTGGAAATTTAAATGACTTTTATTAGAAACATGGAAGGAAACAATTGTCTCAAATATTGAAAATTAGGATGACCCATTCTAAAATGCCATAACATTATTTCATTATTTTTTGAACTAGATGCAGAATCACAAGTTGCAATTTGACACTGCTTACTCATATTGACCTCCTCAGAATAGTAGAGTCCCTTACATTCCTTAGCATTGCCAATCGTCTTCTCCGATAATAGGTCCTGAAATACACAATGTGATGAGAAAAATTTAGCAAAGCAATTAGAATTTCTTGTCAACTGACTAATGGACAATAGATTGCATGACAAATTTGGGACATGAATGACAGATTCAAGTGTTATAGACTCAAAAATTCGAATGTTCCCTTTTCTTGCAACTGGTGAAAGTGAACCATCTGTAATTTTAACTTTTAAGATTCCCAACACATGATGTATAGGAAGAAAAAAGAAGGTACAAATCTGTCATGTGATCGGAAGCACCAGAGTCAATAATCCAAGGATTTTTTCTTCGAGTAGTGGTAATTAGAGCTCTCAAAAAATTACCTCTGTGTGCTAATGAATCGGAAGAAGCATTTGAAGAAGACTGGTCGGCAGGTTGAAGACTAGAGAAAATTTTGTAGAGTTGTTCCAATTGTTTAGAATTAAATGCTCCACTTGAGATGGAATTGTTGCCTTGTCCCTCCTGCTTTCTCTCTGCCTGATTATCAGCAGTAACCTGGTAGCCACCTCGGTTTCTAGTGTTAAATTTTGGCCTCTAATCAGCCGGTTTACCATATATCTCCCAACAAGTTTAATTGGTATGTCCGGGCTTCCGACAGTGATCACACCATGGACGTCTTCTGGGCTGGTTTGGGCCTGACCCAGCCGGCAGCCTGTCCTTCACGGGTGTTTAGGGTAGTTTTTTCGAGCCCAACAGGCTGATAGAAAACTGAACCACTGTGTCCTCTATGGGTTGTTAATGCGGACCTTTCAGGCCCAGTAGACCCTTTCTCTTGCATCATCACCTTCTTCCTGTTTTCTTCTTGCCTCACTTGTGCAAAGAAAGAATTCACGAGTTGTTGGCAGAGGACGTCGACCGAGAATCCTGCTTCTAACGTCGTCTAATTCGCGGTTGAGCCCAGCAAGGAATTCATAGACCCGTTCATTTTCGAGTCTTCTTTTGTGTCTTACACTATCTCCAGAACATTCCCATTCTTCTTCAACACTCAGGTCGAGCTCCTGCCAGAGGGAGGTCATTTCCATATAGTAATCCGTGACCTCCCTTTCTCCTTGTTTCATCTGCCATAATCGGGTCTTGATTTTAAAGATCTGGGAAAAATTTTCAGCATCAGAATATGTTTCCCTCACTGCATCCCAGACGACCTTCGTTGTCGGTAGGAATAGATAGGTTTTTCCGATGGAAGGCTTCATGGAGTTGACTAGCCAAGCCGTCACCAACGAGTTTTCTGACTTCCACTTTTACAGAGCGACACGTCGGTTGAGTCTGACTTCTTCGTTTCGCCTGTAAGGTAACCAAGTCTTCCCTTGCCGTCGATCACGAGTTTGATGGACTGAACCCATTCCCGGAAATTTTTTCCATTTAATTTTTCCACCATGAGTTGAAAGGACGAAGTATCTTGTCTACCTAACTTCACAGTGGAGACTTCTTCTGTTACACCATCTGGACTTTTAGAGGACATTGATCCTCTGCTATTGATGGTGGTGGTCTCCATTGATGATGGCTAGGATTGGAAAAATCCTAGCTCTGATACCATGTTGACAGAAACGAGAATGTGTTTTTATATTTTCAGTAAAAATTCATATATTTTGTACATGTCTAATCCTCTATTTATAATACAATAGGGAAAACAGAAAAAGAAAAGAATCTCCTACAAAAGGAAAAAAATCCCCTAAACTAAGAGCTATTATTCTGCTAATAAATCACATAGCTGTAAACAATCCTCCTAATCAATCCCTACAATTAATCACCTAAATCTCTCCCACTAATTACGAGGATTTCTCATGATTTCAACATAATGTTGTGATTGTATCATATTCCAGGTATAGTTCATATAAATTTTTTAGACAAATACATTTAAAATTTATGATTGAAAATTGAGCTTTATATGTCACTTGATTTTTTCATCTCTTATTACTTCTCTTACAAACTGCATGGTGGAAGGAGAATAGTAAAGAGGGTTCCTTTTTATTGTATTCAGGTTAACAGGGTTCTAGATGAGATTTTCGCTCTATGCCCTAATGCGGAAGCTGCAACCAATGTTCGTCAGGAGGATCTAGCATCATTGATAAAGCCTTTGGGTTTGTCGGACCTAAGGAGTAAACGTATGATGAAGCTCTCTCGTCAGTATTTGGAGAATGATTGGACTCATGTGACTCAGCTCCATGGTGTTGGCAAGTGAGTGCATCAGTCTAGTCATGTTTTACCTTATTTAATCTTAACACAACTACTTAGTTTCGGTCTTCTTAGTTCTTTCATCACTTGATTTTCCTTTCTTTCTCTTTGGATAAGTTACAAGAAATCTTCTTCATCTAAGAAACTTCCCTCATCTATGATAGTAATGAACCATTAATTTTATAAAGGAGTTTTGTTCTTCATATGTTTGGACAAATGTCTACACTTGGGTGGACCTTTAGTCAAAATCTAACTTTTTATTATCAACCTCGAATTCTAAAGGATCAAAAGCCTGATGAGTCAAACTCCATTACGAAACTAACTATTTCATTAATGAACTTCTTAAATGTTGGTGTTTTACAATTAACACTCCCACACATAACTGCAAGGTCTCTATCGAAGAGATGTATGATAATATCAGAACCTACTCCATTTGTATGGTTTCCATAATAATTAATCTTAATTCCAGTAATCTCTGGAGATATCCATCTGGAGCGATAATATGTTACAGACCGAGGCTGTAAACATTACATGTCATACTTTAAACAGGGTTTTGATTTGACGTATTCTTAAAAAGACTCCTTGAGTTATATTGTAAAATAATCCCAATAGGTTATTTCTTGTTTTCATTTTCAAATGTAATTTTATTCTCAGGAGAAAAATGATAATTCTGGCAAATTTGATGCTGAAGTAGACCATGATATATGTTCCTGGTAATCATTCCTCCACACAACACTTATCATGTTTTGAATAGACGTACTCTGATGTAGAAGAATTTTTTCATATGAGTTACTGTGAAAATAACTCTTTTGTATCAAGAAAGTCTATATTTGGGGGGTTTTATCAAATTTACCAAATAAAACAAGGTATCCATCTTACCCAAGAGGCTTTTTCCAGTAATGGGGATGCCTCCCCACTTCCTATGGCAAAGAATTATCAGCAGCTCCCATCTTTACATATGATATGAAATTAATCTTGGGTCAAAACCCCAATTCACACTCCACAACACAAGCCATATTTTACTTCAAAGTCTTCAAAGATCCAGTGATGGATGTGAGCTCAATTGGATAATTTGGTGTCCAATTGATCATAATAATTTGAGATTTGGTGGGATTGATACATTTACCAAAATTCTCCACTTGGTGTGTAATTAATCATAACAACATGAGATTTGGTGGGATCTGATACATTTACCAAAATTCTCTCACACAACTACTACTAAGTTGTGCGCTAACAGGTACTGCAATGGATACAGATTATGGGACTAAGGCAAATTTGTGGAAGGTGGGGTATGGGAACATGGCTATATATGTATATGTATATCTATATGTATTAAAATAATAAGTACACGAGATCAGTATTCATCACGTGTTTTGAGATTTAAAATTCCGGTAAAATTTTTATGTTTCTGTCTATGAAGATTAAAAATTGTAAAAAGCTTGTTTTTGAACTAGATATCCAAATGACCTTTAAAAACCTTCTTTCTTAACTGGGTATGTGCTAAAATGAACTCGACCCCTGTCCAACTATTTTCAAGAAGTGGATGTGAAGTGTAGGATATATGTCCAAGAAGTGTATGACGACTATTTTAAATTAAAACATGTATTACATAATTGAACACACACCCAAATAAACATATACATACATTCAAGAAGTGTCCAGGAGGTTTTGGTGCGGGTACGGGTTCGTGTCGGGTATGAGTACATCCTCAGATAGAAGTACCCAGGTAACATAGCATTTCCCCCTTTTGTCCTAAACCCAGCCTCTATGCCATGTTATCAATAATCTAGGGGTAATTGCGGATCGACAATGCGATGCCCTGTAGTATCATTATTTTGAGCTTACTTCCTCTCTAGTTTTATTTTTTGCATATAGACCCCTAAGTGAATTTCTTTGCATTCTTTTACCCTCAGGGTGTAGGCCTTGAAAGCTCGAGTATCTAGGCTTATAGAGTGGTCCACTGATTCCTTGGCACACAACTCGGTCATATGAAGTACTATTTTCATATTTCCAAACGCTAACAGTAGTTCGTTGATATTACTAATCAAATGCATATTATTTAGTACTTTAAATTGTATCATTATTTTTATGAGTTGGTAGGCTTTATTATTTTATCATTTTTTTCTTTTCTCTAAGTTCATTCCTTCAATTGTGAAACCATTTTGATTTTGCCTAGTTCTAGTTTTATTCATTTTCTTAAAATGGTTTTATTTGATTCTGCTTGACCTGCAGTGATGAACTGAATCATGTACATTGAATTCATAAAAGCCAATTATCCATTGCTAGTTTGGTGCTAAGATTTCATTACTTTATCCTTATTTTCTTCCGGGTATTTTTCTTAGCACTGTAGTTTCATGCTTGATTTTGTTTATCTTTTGAGGAACGGTTTTACTTAAAATCTTTCAAGTTTGGTACCGAGCCAATCCTAATCCTAAAATATGCATAAGACATTAAGACCTATGTCTACTAGATTGTCTTTGAGCTAATATCCTTTACAAAAATAATCATATGAACTATCTAAGCTGTAGTTTCCTCTATACGATTGTTCTAAGACTTCTTCTTCCATGATATGCACCATTTTTAAGTTGCTCTAGAATTAGCTGGATCTCAAGTTTTGGGGTTGATTGCACAAATCATTTTTTTTCTTTTATTTAGCTTCATTTATCACAACAAACCCTGCTAAATTAGCACCTCAGCACATCCTTGTCAATTCCTCAATCCAGGTTCACTTTTGTTTACCAGTTTACATATCATACAAATATTCTGATTCACAATTCCAAATTGTAGCAATCTGTCCTGTGTTAAGAGTCTAGCTCTCATAGCAAACCACTCAATCATAGCGTTTCAAGAATTTACGGAGCTCCAGATTAAAGGGAACCATCTACAGAAGCCTCCATCAGCAAAAAGAACCTGATAAACATAGAGATTTGGAGAATACCCCACTCAGTACAACTTGCGAAATTCTGAAGGCTAGTTCCCATATTCCCCCAATGCAAGAGCGCATAATTTCTCACCTTAAGAGCCCTCTTCCATTGCCAATAATCCATACTTCGGCTGCAAACTCTATATATCAGTAGGAGAAATTTTTGAAAGTGACCATCTGTGAAATTTAATTAGCAAAACCAACCCAAAAATTTTTAATTAGCAAAATCGATCAATCTTTAGCCATGCCAACACACTTACTGAAAAGTAGTCGATTTTCCAAAATATAGTTTTGAAAAACACAGGATTGCCGGTCCCGTGTATTACTTACGAAATAATCACACTGTTTTAGAATCATGTGGCTAGCAATCCGATGTTCTCAAATCTCACTTCATAAAAATCCTCATCTTTATTCTTCGACCTCGACCTCTTCTCCTTCTCTACCTCTGCTTTGTCTAACTTCAACGACATATGAAAGGGCTTCTTCAAGGTCTGAGATGTTTTTGGTAAAATCTACAATCAAGAACTTTTATTTGTGAAGGAATTAGGGTTTGGTCTCTCTATCCGAACTCTCTCATATGTTGATTCGTACAAGATGACGGGAGATCAAGAAAGCTAGATGCGCATGGCGATGGCGAGAGCTGGGACGAACATCGCCGTGATCAAAGTACTGAGAGAATGAGACAAAACCCTAATTCTCCGTATCAAAGACAACATCAAGTGTCACTCTCGACTCAGATAATCTCTTGGTGACAACCGTCATCGTTAGCCTTAGATTCAAGAGCAATTGGATGTGGTTGAATGGAAAGAATTTTTTGATCTGTATTTTTCTTGATTTTGTTAGGTTCTTTAGGGTTTATAAAAATAGAAACACACATGACATCTATGCATGTGATTAATGAATGCCAATAGTTAACAACCATCGTTAATTACATGAGACTAACAGTTCCGTGTTTTTTAAAAAACTGTTTTTTGTACAATCAATCATATATCAACCAGTCGTGCTGATGTGGCTGAAAATAGTCTATTTTGCTAATTAATCAAATTTTGTGGGTCGATTTTTACTAGTTAAATTTGAAAAACCGTCTTTGTAAAATTTTTTAAAAATTGTCTCCTATATTAGTATGCTTGAGATAAGCTTCATAGAGCCATTTAATTGACAAAATAATTTTTTTGAATGTATATCGGATGTAACATTTCCTATTGAGGCTAAATATAATTTCTCAGTACTAAATAAGCCTAAACCACCATAATTCGTGGATTTACACAAATCATTCGATGACACTAAGGATATTTTAGATTTATCATCATTACCTCCAAACTCCTATAGGTAGCATCAATGACCCTAGATAGTTTTTGGTAACATAAACCCACTAGTCCAAAAAACCTGGACAAAAAACCTGGACAAAAAACCTAGACACTAAGGACAACTTCTTATTACACCACTATATAACTTTTGCAGAAATCCTATCCAATAATGGTTTGATTAGAGTTTTGCCTAGCCCTTCACTAGAAAGAGGTAACCCCAAATAGTGTTATCAATGTGCGAAGCGCAAAGATGTGCAACACACAACACGATGTGCCTGCCTGAGTGAAGCTAGGCGCACATCGCACACATAAATTTTCAAGATAGATAATCAAGCACAAAAAAACATGTTTATGAATTTTCACATTAAAACATTTGTCAAGGTAAATAATATCTACTCCCAAATAACAAAATAAAGTCTTAATTCCTAATGCTAACACATCCAACATAGTACCAAAGTTCATAATTTTCCAAATCAAAATTCAAATAAAGAGTAATATCGAAGCAAACTCAAATTATAAACGAGAATTACATAGGGTTCTTAATCAAGCTACTAAAAATGTCTAATGAGTTTATTTTTTCTCTTTGGGATAGAGTTATCGGGTACAAAGACCTAATTCAAATGTTAAAAAATATACGAGGCTATATCTTGCATGTACCTTGCAAGAAGTGCCAGCGTCACATATGTAATTTTTTGCTCTTACCAAGTCAGCGGTTACATCAGCCAGACTCTAGAACGTTCATTTATATTCTTGGATCTTCTTGGATATTCTTG